GGTTGAGAATACAACCTTCCACCTCTCAGCCACAGGGGAAAAAGAAGTTACTTGCAAAACCTGCGGTCCTAAGGAGTTGGTAGGATTTGTAAATGATTCGAAGTCGATATATGACAAATCATTACACTTGGAAATAAGCACTCTGCTCAGTGCAGAGAGAATGTTTAGCTTCTTAGCAAACCAGTCTTTTTAGCTGTGGATGCTGTTCCAGAGCTAGACTATTTTTATAACAAGCTAAGTTAGTTGGTGTCAGTTTAGAGGTATCTTAAAGCATTATATCCTTGGTTTGCACACTGAAGAGTAGAACAGATACCTTAACAATTTTCCTTTAAACACAAGTCTACAGCAGAGCTTCATGCTGGTTTTGAAGATGGGCTGCATCTACCCCAGTTCTGCAGAGGAAGTGCTGGGGTTTGTTTTCCAGAGGTATTTGTTGTAAAGAGGTGCTGAAATGGCAGCGAGCTCAGAAACCAGCTCACCAGAATCCAACAACGCTGCAGAAAATCGACCACAAACAGGTCTACAATGATAGCACACAGAGTGAAAATTAATACGTGTCCCATAAATAATTGCCTTCATGCCTCATTGCAAATTCAGTAGTTAAACATTTCTGTCTTGTGAGTAATTTCCTATTCACAGTTTGTGGGAAGGCATAAATGTAAAGAAAACAGGTTTGGCGTCCTTTTGTCTTTTTTTGTTTTGTTTTGTTTTTCAGTCTGCTAATTTCAATTCACAAACACCATAGGAACCTGCAATTCCAATTTTCTTTTCGCAGTATTAATGAAAACTGGGCACTGAAAATAGTTAGATTTTTTTTTTTCCTCTAAATCTTAAACGACTTAGAAATACAGTCAAGAATAATAACTTTCTAATCCATTATTACGCAATGTAAAACTGTGCTCAATTGCTATTATTTCATGCAAAGATTTTCATAAGTGGTAGAAGAGGCTTTTAGAACTCAGTTTCTTCTAAGCTGGTCTTTGAGGCAGTACAAAAACGCTGATTGTGTGCTGTTGAGAGGAAGAGCTGTGCATAAGAGAAGTTGTTTTAAGGAGGAATCCTTGCACCACAAGATGACAATCATTTCCTCTCACTGTTATGGAAAGGTTTGAGCATATTTACTGTCTTTATGATTTTGTCTTGTTCCTAATCAAACCAACCTCAATTTATTGTTTTAATAAATAGACAGTTTCAGGGTTTGGGCTTTGGGTATATTTTTGAGACAATGGTTTACTCTTAAAAATCAGAGCAATATTTTATGTCATTTAATCTTAACATACTCTAATAAGGTATTTCAGTTCTCATTTACAGTAAAATGTCTAGGATGAAGGTAATATCTTTCTCATGCTGCAGACACTAAGAGTGACTGCAGCTGAGTAGCAGACAAGGTTACCTGCAGGCACACCTCTGCTGCTGTGCCAGGAGCCAATGGCTCTGCCTGATCCAGCTACCAGGATGCTGGGAACAAAACCACATCCAGTGTTTCCCAAAGAACTGGGAAGCAAAGAGCACAATTTCTGTAAATTTATAATCTTCATTTGCTTTCCACTGACATCATCTGCCATCCCTTGCAATCGTTCCTGTCTTGCAGGGAAAAAAAATATAGGTAAATTCCCCTTGGAATTGACTCCAGTCTTAGTCAAACAAAGATACTGCTTAAATAGAAGGCAGCCGTTTCAGCAATGTTATGGATGTGGATTTATTTATTTATATAGATTTCAGAAGACATTAAGGTTGGCTTTTTCCAGTAGCCCTTTCCCCCCTGTCTCAGAATAGGACTCTTGCTTTGGTTTGTACTCCATTAGCTGTTCCTGTCTAACGTGCTCACAGACAAACCTGTATACTTTGTAAAACTTTTCTATTTCCTCCTCCTTCATTTGTCTGGAGAGGCCCTACTAGGTTAAAAGCATATTTTAATGTAAATGGAGCAAAAATAGCAAGTCCTTTTCCTTGCTGAATTGCTCCTTTTCCAGAAGTCCAAACAAATGCAACAACAGATGCTTTGAAATGTTATAAGTTTAAATAACATCAAGGTAGTGGTTGAATATTTCTCAGACAGATGGGGTAAATGAGACAATTGTGAAAACATTCTTAAAATAAAAGGAAGCCATCAGGTGAGAGGCAGGAATTTAGGCAACATTGAAAAATATACCTTAGGTGTTTCTTTTAGGTTGCAATATTAGAATGTTTTCCTCTGAGCAAGCTGTTAACTGTCATTTAGTAGGCATTAATTGTAAAGTTAGTTGATAGTATTTGGCCCAAATGTATGTATCTTAAAGAGAAAGAGCAGCTGTTAATCCATCAGGTATTGACGGTGTATTCAGTGGCTTCTATTATTCCTCAGACAGAAATTAATTTCCTGAAATCACATACAGTAAGATAAGACTCTGTCTCATTTTCACTCACTATGGAAATACTCAGTCTTTGTTCTGCACACAATGCATTGTCTCTTGTAAAACAGTAAATGACACCCTAGGTGTAAAAGAATTTCCATTTTCTACAATAGCTACAATGAACAAACAGGATCTAAACCAGTTAGTGACTACTTTGGAACAGGACACCTTTCTTAGTAGGGTGGCATCTGCCCTGAAATGACAAAAACATCTTAAAACCTTCAAGTCTCTTGTATCACCATAGAAAGGGCCAATTGCACAATTCATAACAAGTAAGAACTTTCAGAAGGATACAAAAAGTTAAAGTACTATTTGATAGAGTTTTTTTAATTTTACAGTTTTGCCTCTGTTCTTTCAGCTGAACAAAATGTCAGCTTCTTTAAATCTGTTTGAAATAACTGCCAGGAGGAAGTGTTTGAGCAGGAAGAACACAGATCACCAATAAGTAAACGATGAGTAATACCAGAGCGGAGAAGGAACTTATTCTTTTGGGGAGTTGTGGTTTTTTGCTACATTTTATTGTTCGGAGGCCAATTGTAGATGACTGTAGATGGTGGCTGCTTTCAATTCTAGTAGTCCAAACTTGCTGCAATTTTTGGACCAGTGTTGATATTTTGACTGGCATTACCTTTAATGTAGCATTCTTAAAATCATCATTGTCCTATTATGCATTTACAGTGCTTAAAAAAGTGACTATGGACCATAGTGTGCTTTTGTGGACTTTGAGCAGGACACTTTTCTAACACACGTCAGTACAATGCTACCTGTAGGCACACCCTGATAAAGTTAATGTCATGAATATATTGTAAAGCTAGCATTTAGAACTTTTAGTTAGCATCTATATTTCATCACCTATATGATTATATTTTCAATCATATATATGATTGACTTTTTAGCCATGCATAATGATGCATAAATGCAGTTTCTCCAAGCCAGCCTGGCTTTCCTGAGCTCAGCCAAGACTGGCAGTGCTGAGGATACACAGCCTCCCAGAATTTTGGAAATGCTGGTATAATCAGAGGAATACTGCATACACCCAGACAACTTCATTTTTGTCCATGACACTTGTTAGATTAGAGAGGATCCATCTCAGCTATCACCACTTTAAGTGATTCTATCCAAAGATCTACCTCCCCTTCTGCTGCAAAATTCAACAAAGAAAGATAATGGAAAACATAAAAGCACTGTGTGTGCTGAGAGCAATTAAACTAAAAATTCCTCCTGGAATTAGGGTTTCATTCCTCATGGCTGTGCAAGGGGACAAAATATGCCAGACAACACAATAGTTCCTATCAAGTGTGAAGACATAGGTCAGCTCTATTCATATCACAGCTGAAAAGACCAGAGCCTGGCCTCAGAGGTGGGTTCTTAGGAGGCTGAGTCCTTGCTCTGTGCAATTTGAGAGGTTTTCTTGGGGCATAAAGCAATCCTTAAAGGAACATCTGATAATGGCATCAATGATGAAAAGAGGGTATGGGAGAAGTGAGTGAAAAAGTGCTCTAAAATGTAGCCAAGGAGGACTCTGAATTAGAAAATAGGAGGTAAGGTTGGATAGGTCTCTAAAAGCACTAAGAGTAAATATAATTAATTTTAAAAAGAAAAGAAAATATTAAAAAGAAAGGAGAAACTGAGAAGCTTGGTGAGAGAAGTATACGGGAGAGCTGAGGATACCTTATTTGTAATGAATTTATTGGCTGCTATCAGCCATTTTCTATTTTTTTTCCCTTCATTCTGCCTTATCATCACTGCCTTCTCAATAAATAGTATGGTGTCACTTTTTGTTCCTTACAGAAAGAGAAGAAGAGAGAGGAAGAAAGGGATAAAAGGAGAAGGAAATCCTTTCTTCTGAGATGTTCATGTCCCTGCATTTAAATTGTGGCACGCCTGTTATTTCAGATTATTTAGGCATTATTTGCTTAACAACACACTGGGACGAATTATACCTTTGAAGACTAGAACGAGATGTTCTTTGCTGTCCTTTTCCTTGTTTAAAAGCCTGAAAAAGGGATGGGCTGCAACCCTAACTGGTTTTGGACTAGTGGAGGGGGGGTACTAATACCTTGTGAAGGCTGACCTAGAACAGAGACTAGATGGAGCTAAAGAATAGAATAGGGATTTATTAGGAGGCCTCAATAGATCCACCTTGGGCAACACAACCCAAAATGGCCAATAAAATAAATGGACCACAAGTCATGGGGTCTCACACTTTTATAAATTTTGGTCCATTAGCATATTGGAGCTAATTGTCCAATTACAGCTCTAGCCCATGAAGTCCCAGCCTTGTTTTCTCTCTTCATTCACCGTTGTTTGTGCTCTTGGGCCTGAGATCTGGATCAGCTGTCCTGGGTCCCCAGCTAGAGAAGGAATTGTTTTGCCTACCTGCTCTGTGAAGGGAGCTTACTGTCCCCTAACATGAAGCCTAGACTAACACACTAAAGCAGAACAGAATCTGAAAAACAGAAAAATAGAAAAGCTAAAACATGACTAGGCTGTCCTGGCCCAGCAGGTGCAGCTAGTAGGACACGTGACCGTAGCAGCAGACATGACTGACTCCTCGATGTGCAAACTCAAGGATAACCTCTCCTTTCTTTCATTATCTACCCACAGCAAACCCCACCAGGGCAGGAGGAGGAAGGGAGTACCCCGGCTCGTCCGAGGTGATCCGTGAATCCAGCAGCACGACGGGCATGGTGGTTGGGATCGTGGCAGCGGCGGCGCTGTGCATCCTCATCCTCCTGTATGCCATGTACAAGTACAGGAATCGAGACGAAGGGTCCTACCATGTGGATGAGAGTCGAAACTACATCAGTAACTCAGCACAATCCAACGGGGCTGTGATCAAGGAGAAACAGCCCAACAGCGCTAAAAGTTCCAACAAAAACAAGAAAAATAAGGATAAGGAGTACTATGTCTGATCTCAACATCTAAAAGAACGCTTGTATAGAAATAGTCTTCATTTTATCTGAGACATAATACAAACTTATTTACTTTACTTTTTATGAAGCACATTCAAAAACAAACAGAAAAGACAGGGAATGCAATCAGAAAGGAAAGACTGTTTTTAAAAACAAGCATTTCATGCTCTTGTTTTTCAGAAACAGGAGCTGATAAATTCCCTAACATCCACAGTGTTTTCATTTACTCTGCCTGTCTTTATGTTGCTGGAACGTTTCTGAAAGACAATGATGACACCACGCACTCATAAAGCAAGGAGTATTACTACAACATCGAGGCACAATATGAAAAAAAATCAAATTAAAAAAAAAACAAAACAGGAAAAAAAAAAAAAGAAAAAAGAAGCTACCTATGATTCTGGATTTAGCCAAAGTGCTAGCGCTTTCTTGAGAAGTAAGTTAGTCTTATTGTCAGAGAAGACTGTCATTATATATGGTGACTCAACAAGCAAACATAAAGAGTTTGCCGTCTGGTGCAGTGAAGCAGTGATTGGAAACTTGCATTTTGAAACAAAGTGCTGGCTTTTCTGAAGACTTATGTAGAAATACTTTCAAAAAGCCCCTTTCTGGTTGTGAGGAAAATAGTATGGAGGCCTTATTTTCAAAAACAAAAACAAAAATCTGGAATATAAGGCACATTTCCACAAAAATATAAAAAAAAAAAAAAGAAAAAAAAAAGAAAAATAAGAGGGCATAGATGCAATCATTGGGAAATTTTCATGCACGCTTAATATGTTATTACATATGTTTATATAAAAACACATCTATATGTGCTTTCTGGACTGTGATAAGTGATGTTTTATAGCCTGTTGTATAGAAAATGCAAACTATATCTGCTCTTCAGCCATTTTTGGTAAACTCAATGTTATAAGTGTTGCTAGGTATAGAGAGTTTTATGACATCTGGAGCAACAGACATTCTTCAGTTTTTTTGCAGCCATTATAAATCGTCCCAGACTTTTTCCCCTTTTCTTTTTTTTTTGATTTTTAATTTACAGTGTAGTGGTTATACAAAGGGGGATGTGTATGAATGTATATAAGAGTCAGCTAATTTTTTTCTTACCTGTACAGCTCTATTATGTTGCAATTAAGTTTCAGTAGTTTGTATGAAAGAAGTGGACTAGAAAGCAAAAATATATCTCTACTGTAATTTGTCTTCTCCCTCCTATCCCCATCTCTTGCTCCTGATATGCATCAATGAAGTTGATCAGAATGGCCAATTTTCCTAGAAATACACATTCATTAATTAGCTAAATATTTAGTGACTTAAACTGGCCTTTGGCTTCCAGTCAAAGCTTCACTATTGGAGAGCATGGTTTGCCTTACAGAAACCTTGTTCTTAGAAATTACGAGAATGATGAGTTTCTTGAGAATCTTAGGAAGTATCATATAGTATTTATCTGGCATTCATATGAAGAACAGCTACTACAGCACTGGGTGATAAAAGATCTAAAAATACCCATTGTAATTATCCAGGCTGATTCTATTGCAGAATTTATCCCTTTCTCCAAAAAGGAAATACTCTTGAGGTGCACGATAGTATTTTTCAATGGTGGACATTTTGACATATGAAAAAGTATTTTTAGCTAAGTTGATTGTGTAGTATTGCAAGACATCATAACCAGACAGATATAAGTTCATTATGTTTTAAAGTGACACAGCTTATCTTGCATATATAAAACATTAATGCATTTTAGTTAAACACATGAAATGTAATGCTGTAATTTACACGTTAAGTTTGGAATTTTTTTCTAGTAATATTTCATTAGTTTCACAGCAATAAATCATAGCATAACATTTTATTTACACAGAAGTTCAAAGGGAATATGACAGAAAGAGGGTAGTTCAATAGAAATCAACCAAATCATCAGAAGGCCTCCTGGGAGGGATACAGATATTCACACTTTACAGACAGGAAGGAGAAATTTAAAATTAGCTTTAAACAGCAGACACAAAACATTTTGTTGTGTGTTACTCACTGTAGCTGATGAAATAAAGTTGGGAACTGGTACAGCTATCTATCTGGGAGTCAGAGCACTTTAAAAATACATGTAGCTGACATGAAAACACCTCTCTTGAAGTTTGCCAACCACATCAAGGTGTGCCATGTTGCATTTGTGAAATGACTTTTTATTTTCATTAGCATTTACGCAAAAAAAAATGAAGGAAAAAAAACCTCACAAAAAACACAAAATCCATCTGATGTTCATTTCTTAGATTGTTGTTCACCTGTGGCACTCATCATTTCTCCCACCTTTACAAGACAGCTGTACTCAGGGAATGGCAGGGGCAAGGGTGACTGGAGGTCATTGCAGGAAGCAAGAGACTTCAGCTGGAGGGGGGAACGAAGTTGAAAGCCAGGTGGTGTTCAGATTTCAGTGCTTGAAGATACCTAGAAGAACAAGAATAAACTGTTGACAGGAGACTGGGCACAACAGAATATGATTTGGGTGAGATGAAAAGGTCTTTTCTGCTTGGTATTGATTGCATTAATGAAATAGCGTTGTCAGGCCAACTTCCAGGCAGTTTGGTAGATCAATCTTTAACTAAATCCATACATCAAGGAAAAAAAAGGAAGATCTGCTACTATTAAAATAAGAAAACACAATTTTAACATTGTTTCTGAAGGTTCTCCTTTTTCCTCTTTAATTTCATAATTTAACAACAAAAAAATATAAATTATGGATGTATCAGAAATGCCAGCAAGTGGATTTAAAATTCTTTTTTGTTTAAAAGCAGCAGCAACAACAAACAAACAGACATAAACCAACTACCTAACATAAAATTGGATCCTTTCTCCATAATAACCTAATTTGTTTGACTGAGATGGCTTCATTTCTATGACTGTATTGTGTTGCCTTTTTTAACAAAACACTAAATAACGTGTGAAACTTTCAACCCTAAGACATCAAAGAGAGGCCCAATGCCCCTAACCTTATAGTGCTTTCTGTGATAGATATTTACAATTTTTTTATTTGTTGCAAGGCCAATTTATTCATTATTGGAAATGCTAAGCAAGTGGAATTTACTGTTTTGTTAATAAAAATGTTTCTTAATACAAATGCTGATTTGTTTCTTGTTCTTACTCTTAGATTGTGAGTACCTGTTCATCCTGAGGCTGTGAAAATATTGGCAAATTAGTATGAAGTTACAGACATTCATGCCAGGAAAAAGTAACCCCAGAGCTCTTTATACACTTCAGTGAAAACCTTCAAGTCTTGTGTTCAACTGGCCCAGTTAGAAAAGTATTAATAACATCAATGAATTAGTTTTGCACAGACTTGCTTCATTTGAAATTTTCTAGTATTTTTTTAATAAAAAAAATAAAAGTTGATGTTCTCTTCCCCATCTGTATGAAAAACAAACTCTCCTTTTTGCCACTTTTTGATTTCTGTAGTGGAAATAAGGTGGAGGAGGATAAGGTAATGGGATGAAAAGGTAAAACATTTGTTAAATGTGAAAACATTTTCTCCTGTCTAGAAGATGATTTTAAAATTAATGGGAAAATGAATGTATTTCAGGTCCTTAAAAACATTTCTAGATAATAATTACAAAATTTCAACCGGAGCTAATCCATTACATAAGTGTTTTCCTACTTAGCATGGCATTTAAATTCATGGGCAACTTCAAGCAAACATCTAATCCTATTGATTTAAGCAAGTGTCTAAACTTGCCTAAATGTACTGCTGAATGGGGATGGAGTTAAGCTTTTGGATCTAAGCTGCAAATAGAATTTAATTTTGTATCATCTTAAATCACATCAGCAGCTTTTAGACTTCAGTGAGATTTATTCATCTGCTTAATTATGTATAGACTGAAGTATTTTAGATAATTTAAGCTCAGGAATATCTGGAGAAAAACAGTCCCTATCTTCCATTGGTATAAAACACTTTGAAAGTTCTAAACTGCTTTATACTGAGATTAGGTCTTGTGAGTGTACTTAAATAAATACGGAATATTCTATTTAGGAAAATGTTTTATACACATTTGAAGGAGCTATAGGAATAGTGATTTTTGTTCTGCTACTACTACTACTACAAAAAAGAAACCAACCAAAGCAAAAAACAACTCACATTTAATTATTTTAAATTCTACAATGTAGTTGTTCCTTTTTTTTTTTTTTTTAATATTTATACTGAGTGCACCGTTTTACCAAAATCCTAATGGCCTCTTGCTACCTGCATCATTCATCATTATCTGGCCACTATAAGTGGTGGCCTCCATCATCAATTATCACTGTGGTCAAGCAGATAAAAAGCCTTTACAAGGTGATGAAAAAAGAGAAAAAATGAAAAAAATGCCCCCAGATGTGACTTAGAATAAGGGAAAAAAAGCTCACATGTAGTCTGTAAATGGCAGCTGTGTTTGTTAATTCCTCCTATGTGACTTCTTTATAGTTCAATGAAACAGTTTTAAATTGGGGTTCTGGATCTGATTTTCATTTTGATTGTAGAAATTTGCTTTTAAGTACAGTGCAGGCCTGTTCAGTGGTGCTTAGAACTATTTTGCTGGGTCAGGCACCTTTGTCAGTATAATTTAATTTGGAATGCAGGCTATTTGGTTATTTTAAAGCCCCTGCTTCTTTAAAGTCTGTAAGTATTTCAGTGTTAAAATGTTTCTGGCTCTCATGGGAGTGGGGATAAAGAGAAGACCATACTGCATTTAATTCAATTTACAAATTGATAAATGCTTGGGAATGATAAAACTGCTTTCCCACCAGCCTCTGATTCATCTGGATGGAGTGCCACTGATTTGGTTGGTCACTACTCTTCATGAAACCAGAAGCATCCCCCACAGGTTAAGCTTTGAAGTAGAAATTCCAGAAAAAGATATAGATGAGCTCAGTTTTGTCAGACAGGGCCAGAACTCAACCAGTCCTTTACCTGCTTACTTTACCTTCGTACTGAAGGTTTTTGACAGACTTCATCCACCAACTCTAACTTCTGTCAGAGAAAGTCTGGCCTCTTGCTTTTTTTTTCTTGGCCTCTTGCTTTTATTTTCTTAGTCACTTGCTGCTACACAAATATCTTAATTTTACAGAATTCTAGAATAAGCTGAGTTGGAAGGGACCCATCAGGACCATCGAGTCCAGCTCCCAGCCCTGCACAGGACACACCAAGAGTCACATCAAGTGCCTCAGAGCTTTGTCCAAATGCTTCTTGAACTCTGTCAGGCTTCATGCTGTGACCACTGCCCTGGGCAGCCTGTTCCAGTGCCCAGCCACCCTCTGGGTGAAAAACCTTTTCCTGATATCCAAACTAAACCTCCCCTGACACAGCTTCAACCCATTCCCTTGGATCAGTTCTCTGGTCATCAAGAGAAGAGATCAGATTCTACCCCTCTGCTTCCCCTCATGAGGAAGCTTTAGACCACTGTGTTCAGAACAAACAGATTTCCATATGACATTGCTCCTCCAGTTGGACTTGACTGTGATAGACAATCTTTAAAAAACTGAGGAAATTTTAAAGAAGAAAAAAGGTGACATAAGGGGTAGAGTTATTTCAAAGGATGTGGGATTTTCAGTGAGTAAATTGCCTTTAAGAACAGTAATTTCATGCTGGCATACACTTGAGAGATTTGGAAATCCAGGTCAGTAATCCTCAAAAACATCCTTTTGGTAAACAATAAAGGCATGAGCTCGTTTGTCAGCAAGCACAGGGACCAACAGCAAGGCTATCAAAGTGGGAATGTGTCAGTCTGGTTGCAGCAAATAACACAGGGAAATGGAATTTGGGCAGCTAAAAATAACTATTGGCACGCTGGCTGGACTCTCATGAGTGAGTCCAACTACAAGCCAGTAAGCATTTATTGGATGATAAACAGCAAAATACTTCTATTATAGTCACAGTTTGGGATGCAGCTGATGGAACAGAGGCACAGGCTGTGAGGCTGTATTGGCTTTTCCAGGACAAGCAGCCAGACTGCAGTTCAGGTGTCCTCCAAGCTGGGGAGCTGGGCAGGCTTCACACAACCACCTGCTGCATGACAGATGATCAGCTGTTTCCACAAAACCTCCATTTTCCCTTTGAAATTGAGATACATTTTCTAGGAATAGTGCAGCAGCTTGCTCTGTGGAGTGGCTCCCAAAACACGTCCCACCACAGCCAGCATCATCTCAAAGAGAAACCGTGGCTGCAGGTCCAGGTGAGAAACCTCCAATCTGTTCAGGATTGCCTTGGCCTCGGGACCTTCTCAGGATGGGCAGGTGTAAGGAGGGCAGGACGTGAGAGCTGCAGGCACTGCTCTGGTGTGGCTACAGAAAGAGGGGGGAAATTCAGCCATGAGGTCTCACAACCTGGACTGCTTGGGGAACTTGCCCCAGGGCTCGTGGCTTGGCAAAGCAAGAGAAGGCACAGGTTTTCCTTCGTAAATGCTTCAAATGAAAAAAAATGTTTCTCAAAAAGGTGGTGGCATAGAGAGTTCAGGAATTTCATTAGGAGTTACTTCAGTGTTCCTTTAGCACTTTGCCTGCCTGTGCTTCACACCAGAGAGGAGAAGCTCAGGCCCCTTGTGCCTGGGGAAGGAGACCAAGCAGAGAAAACCTCCCACGGGAATTAAACTCACCCCACAACCATATGGGATCCCTGACTTTCTAGGACACCAGGTCTCAAAAGTTTGGACCTGAAAATTGACTCACGATGAGATCCAGCAACAGACTTCATTAGACCATAAAGACAGAGACAAGTTTCAGCAGAAGATGTAAAAATCTTAAAGAAGAAAACAATAATGCAGACACAGACCCCTGGGAAATCTTACCCCATCTGCCACTGTCTTCTAATCAGCCTTTCAGGTGGTTTAATTCCTTGCTGATTACACCTGGAGAGGGAGCAGGGTTGTTAAATCAGCCCACCTGGAAGAAGGGTTGTCCTGCCAGCAAGCGCAGAGCTCACTGTAGTTACCAGACCCTTCACTCTACCTGTGAGCTAGTTCTACAAAGGTTTTCCTTTAGATTCAGGATTGCTGGCAACCAATACAGAGATGGATATTTAGTCACTTATATTTGATTTATGGGCAAGTCCAGGGAGAAGGAAAAGAATATCATCCAGTGAGAGAAATGAAGAAAAAACCCCAAAAACCAAGCAGGGTTCATCTCATGCTTACCAGCAAATCTCCACATAACAAGCAGAGGAATTTTAGGTAATTAATTTAAGTCTTGGTGTGTTGCTGGGTGGTGCTTGGGAAAGGCAAGTTTGTGCTCAGTTTTCCTTAAGGCTAAATTTGTTTGGAAGCTCATTTATACCTGTCTTCAGGCTCTTTTTAGGGAATTCTTTCAAAATGTTGATAGTACAAGTATAACAGTCATCACCTACAGCAGTGTCTCATCTATTTTAAGAGCTTTGTCTAAGTATGGGCTGCTGGATTTGACTCATAGGTTACATCTGCACTAGCAAGCATAGCCCAGTAAGAATAAATTTGTAGGTCATGGTATCTGATACTGTGGACCGGGTGTCCATGTTATATTTCAGGATTTTCTTTGAACCAGTTGTAGTCTGGCCACACAGACTGAGCCTCAATTAGTGGTTAGGTTTGTTTAATTCTTTGTTTAATTAATGCATTTAATTTAATCTGCAAAGTGTCTAGTCCTTGTTGCAGAGTGCTCTGTGAAGCTAATTGTCGGGAGTGGGAACAGCTGAGTTGGCTCAGAACTGTACACCTGATCTTAAATAAAACTTTGGCATTGAAAACATCTATTGGGCATTGGTATATTCCAGTGTGCTTGTAACAACTCACTGCAAGGAAAAAAAAAAGTAGGGTATTTTTAGTATCCATCCTCAAATGACAATTGCTGTTAGCCATAAAGGCCTCCCCTGTATTTTCAAGACTAAGTGTTTTTAATTCTGGCCCTCATCTTCCTCTTTAACCACCACACTGCTGCATAGCATCCCCTCAACCCTTTTCTTCAAACCTAAAATAATCACAGTTTAAAAAGCTTGTTTCTTTTGAATAGGTTGAGATAAATATGGAAGTATTTTTAGGTAGGCACTGTCTGAGGGAGCCATGTCTCCAACACCAAGATCAGCAATTATGCAATTGTAACTTGGAGAAGTATTGTGGAAGCAAA